AGCATGTAAACAATATGTTTGTAAGTCATTTAACAAATCTTTACAAAAATCAAATGAATCATTTTATTGTTGTGGACTTTATATGCATCAAGAGTAGAAACAACGATCTCAATTTTTAACTATGGTTTATTGTATGTATCTGTTTATCATCTTATTAAAATACAATGCATAATATGCCTCAGAAAGTTGTTTTTTTTATTAATGGATGATGAATTTAGGGTTCTCATTCTCTTGCATATGTCTGTTAGTTTATATATATCTTATTCTATTCTTTAATCGGAATGACAAAATTATAACTTTTAAAATTGGATTGAGATTTGCATGTTTTGTATTATACGCAGTGTCATGCTGCCCCAGTCAGACAACTAAACGCCCCTCTAATTCTGAAGAGTTCTGAATGGAAATATGTACATGTATTGTTTAATACGATTGTCCATTCATTTGTTTTTATGATACTCTTTGTTAGAATGGACAATAAATATTGCTAAGCAGAGGAAAAAAGTAACGAATCTTTCACACAGAGTTGCTAAGATTTCTGTTTTTAGGTCACCTGAGTATTGCTATCCGTTTTTAGGTCACCTGAGTAAACTCAGGTGACCTATTGCTGTCCGTTTTCGTCCGTCGTCATCCGTCGTTCGTTAACATTTGAACATTTTCAGCTTCTTCTCTGCAACCACTGAACCAATTTCAACCAAATTTGGCACAAAGCATCTATGAGTGAAGGGAAACAAAAATTGTGAATTTCATGATCCCTGCCCCCCTGGCGCCTGAGGGGTGGGGCCAAAAACCACTAAAATTAATGCAATCTTTAAAAATCTTCTTTACTCCTGGACATCAAGCAGTCAAACTGTTTGCATGATTGTAATCAGCATTGAGTCCTTTACCAAATTGTGAAATTCATGGCCCTGGGGTCAGGGGTTCTAGTGCTAGGGTGGGGCTAAATAAGTATATAGTGAAAATCCATTATTTCTTTGGAAATCTTCTTTGCTGCTCCTGGGTATTAAATAAACCAACTAAGTACATAGTTATGATGAGCAAAAGAGTCTCTACCAAAATTGTGAATTTTATGGCCCCAGGGTCAGGGGTTCTGGTGTTAGGGCGGGGCTCTATTGATTATATATAGTGAAAATACACAATTTCTTTGAAAATCTTCTTCTCTGCCCCTGGGTATTAAATATACTAACTAAGTGCATAGTTATGATGAGCATGAGTGCCTCTACCAAAATTGTGAATTTTATGGCCCCAGGGTCAGGGGTTCTGGTGTTATGGTGGGGCTCTATTGATTATATATAGTGAAAATACATGATTTCTTTGAAAATCTTCTTCTCTGCCCCTGGGTATTAAATATACTAACTAAGTGCATAGTTATGATGAGCATGAGAGCCTCTACCAAAATTTTGAATTTTATGGCCCCGGGGTCAAGGGTTCTGGTGTTGGGGGGGGGGGGGGGGGCTCTATTGATTATATAGTGAAAATACATGAATTCTTTGAAAATCTTCTACTCTGCTCCTAGGTATTAAATAAACCAATTAAGTGCATAGTTATGATGAGCAAGAGTGCCTCAACCAAAATTGTGAATTTTATGGCTCAAGGGTTCTGGTGTTAGGGCGGGGCTCTATAGATTATATATAGTAACAAGAGGCCCATGGGCCACATCGCTCACATGAGCACTGTGGCTAGGAAAAAGCAGGATTGGTTTATACTTTAAAAGCTTAAATCCAAAAGTAGTCCCAAGACCAATTAAGGCTTTGCTATTCTTAAGAAGAAGATTTTTAAAGAATTTTCCTATACATTTCAATGTAAAACTTTGGTCAGCCGTTTTGGCCCTGCCCTACCCCTGGGGGTCATGATTTGAACAAACTTGAATCTACACTAACTGACGATGCTTCCACATAAATATGATTAATTATGGCTTTGCTATTCTTGAGAAGAATGTTTTTTTAAGAATTTTCCTATACATTTCTATGTAAAACTTTGGTCGGCCATTTTGGCCCCGCCCTACCCCTGGGGGTCACGATTTGAACAAACTTGAATCTACACTAACTGACGATGCTTCCATATAAATATGATCAATTGTGGCTTTGCTATTCTCGAGGAGAAGATTTTTAAAGAATTTTCCTATTCATTTCTATGTTAAACTTTAGTCGGCCATTTTGGCCCCGCCCTACCCGTGGGGGTCATGATTTGAACAAATTTGAATCTGCACTACCTGAGGATGCTTCCATATAAATATGGTCAATTATGGCTTAGTTTTTCTTGAGGAGAGGATTTTTAAAGAAATTTCATATATATTTCTATGTAAATCTTTGATCCCACATTGTGGCCCCGTCCCGTCCACGGTGGGTCATGATTTGAACAAACTTAAATCTACACTACCTAAGGATGTTTCCCCATAAGTTTCATCTTTCCTGGCACAGTGGTTGTTGAGAAGAAGATTTTTAAAACATGCCACCAAATTTTCATTAATTCCCAATTATCTCCCCTTGAATGAGGGCGTGGCCCTTCATTTGAACAAACTTGAATCCCCTTTACCCAAGGATACTTTGTGGCAAGTTTGGTTGAAATTGGCCCAGTGGTTCTTGAGAAGAAGTCGAAAATGTGAAAAGTTTACAGACAGACGGACAGACAGACAGACGGACAGCTAGACAGACGGACGCCGGACAAAATGTGATCAGAAAAGCTCACTTGAGCCTTCGGCTCAGGTGAGCTAAAAATACATGAATTCTTTGAAAATCTTCTTCTCTGTTCCTAGGTATTAAATAAACTAACTAAGTGCATAGTTATGATGAGCAAGAGTGCTTTTACCAAAATTGTGAATTTTATGGTCCCAGGGTCAGGGTTTCTGGTGTTAGGGCAGGGCTCTATTGATTATACAGGTAACTCTTGATGGCTCGAACTTCGATCTCTCGAAGTTCTTGATCGCTCGAAGTGAGTCTCCGGTCCCGAATTTTTTCCGTATATAACTAACAAATTTACTCTTGATTTCTCGAACTCTTAAACTCTCGAAACCCTTGATCTCTCGAAGTAAAATTGCAGTCCTGCTGTGCATATTCTATTGAAATTCACCCTTGATACCTCGAAGTGGCTATGTGAATACAAAGTTACATAATTAGCAACTTTACCTGGACATAAGACGCGGGTCTCGTGAAACGGGATGTTTATTCAGGTGACACTTATTCTGCAAGGTGTTAATTGATTTATAATTAATCTTATGGTGCCTATATGCTATCAAAATAATTATCATGTGTATTACGATAATTCAGAAACGTACGTAGTGTCGCTGAGAAATTGTAATTGCAGATTACGAGACGAAACAATTAATGAATTAAACTTTTATTTCGAATCAGTTTCAAAGTTTAACGAAATATGAAAATTCAGAAACAGTCTCACTGTCAATATGACGACTTTTTTTGGACAATTTCGTTCAATGCACATGTTTGGAAAAGTCACAATGCTATGTACCACGCGACGCTGGTCTACTGGTCTATGCCGTTTTACGATAACGAATATGTAGAATGATATCCGTATGATAATTTAAAAAAAAAAAAACACGAACTGACGATGAACATTTTTTGCTTTACTCAGTTTAATAAATATTCACTTCAAATACGAAAACATATCGTTGTTTTGTAAAAACCACGTGTAAAAGGTAAGAACTGCATGAAAATCATTACATCCGGAATGACTAAATTTAAAACCTGTCAAACAAACCCGGAAAAATCCGGACTCTTGAAAACTCGAACTCTTGATCTCTCGAAGTTTTTCCTTGGTCCCGCGGACTTCGAGGTTTCGAGAGTTACCTGTATATTGAAAATACATGAATTCTTTGAAAATCTTCTTCTCTGCTCCTAGGAATTAAATAAACTAAGTACATAGTTATGATGAGCAAGAATGCCTGCCTCTTTTTAAATTATGAATTTTATGGCCCCAGGGTCAGGGGTTCTGGTGTTAGGGGGGGCGGGGCTCAATTGATTATATAATGAAAATACATTAAATCTTTGAATTTTTTTTTCTTTGTCTCTGGGTATAAAGCAGATGAACTACCTTTATAGTTATGATGAGCAAGGCCCTAATCTTGCAGAATTGTGAATTTCAAAGCCCCAGGGTCAGGGGTGGGATGGGGGCTCTACTTATATACTGAAATTGAATTTATAGTTTGAAATCTGCTCTTTTGTATTTATAAAACATTTATTTATTTTTTGATATTAAGGGTGCCTTTTTGAAATTTGTGCAATGTGTGGACCTAGGGTCAGGGGTTTATGTCACAGTGTTAGGGGCACTACTGGTTAGTTGGAATGCATTTTTGTTCCCCTACCCTGCATATGGGTATTCAGTAACCAAGCTAAGCAACTGGTAAGTGTATTGTTATGATGATCAATGGTGCCTCTTTCAAAATTGTGAATGTCATATAGCATCTGGCTTAAAACATGAATCAAATTCAATAACTGGAAAATTGTTGCATAATGCTCAGGTGACCTATAAGGCCCGTGGGCCTCTTGTTATGTTTCGTCATATGTCTTCCGTTGTGCGTCATGTGTTAACATTTGAACATTTTTAGCTTCTTCTCTTGCAACCACTCAACAAATTTCAACCAAATTTGGCATAAAGCATCTATGGGTGAAGGTGAACAAAAGTTATGAATTTCATGATCCCTGCCCCCCCTGGGGCTTAGGGCTGGAGCCAAAAACCACAAAAATTAATGCAATCTTTAAAACTCTTCTTCTTTACTCCTGGACATCAAGCAGTCAAACTGGTTACATGATTAAAGTCAGCATAGAGTCCTCTACCTAAATTGTGAAATTCATGGCGCTGGGGTCAGGGGTTCTAGTGCTAGGGTGGGGCTATATAGATTATATATTGAAAATGCATTATTTCTTTGAAAATCTTGCTTCTTTGCTCCTGGGCATTTCATAAACAGCCAAATACATATATAGTTATATTGAATAGTACTGCCTCTAACAAATTTTGAATTTCATGTAAATTCATTTTTAAATTAATACCTGTGCTAATCCATGTGGCAGGAGCACACACTTCTATGGTAAGATTTCCCCAGGGATTGATAACACAGTGGTACTCTAACCTCCCCAAACAAGTACTTTTAATGGCTGAGCAGTTCTTCCTGTTTGCAGCTTCTATTACTCCCGCATTATCTTCTGGACAACTATCTACTACTGTTCTTGTGAGTTTTGAAGCTTCACAAAACTCTGCATCTTTAAACGATCCTTGAACAACACTCTGTAAAGTCACATTTCATGAAAAACAAAAGTACAGGGCATGACTTAAACATAGAATTGGTATTCTTTCTCTGCATTTTAATGAGGTTGAGTGACATTTTCCATCTTTTTATCAAAAATATAACTAAAAATATTATTATGAAACTTTATTTATTACTTAAATTAATTTAATTTGAGCCATTTATTTCTTTCATACTTGCCATTTTCATTACTAGTATCACAGTTACAGAAATATAGAAAATCATGTGATCCAAACGACTCTTTTTGGGTTTTTGATTGGCCATGTTTTCTACCTGAAAAATTAAAATTGGAAATAAAAGAATTTACTATTCTGGCAACTATACGGACATTTCATAAATTAATCAAACAAATGACACATGAACCAAAACACTTTCTCATTATTTAGTAATTTAAGCACTACTGTTCACCTGAAGATTTTGTCTTAAATTTTATTCTAACGAGTCAGAGTATTGTTTGTTAAACACTTATGCCCCCCTCCCCCCAAATTTGAATTTTTCCAAGTCCAAAAGGGCATATTTACCCAATGTCAAAAATGGTGCGATTGTACCCAAAACAGAACTTGTCCTAGATATTCATCTGATAAATCTGTCCACTTAATTTCATTTCAGTATGTGCAACGGTTGCCAAGAAAATAAATGGAAACTGCAAATAATTGGAATTTTTCTAAGTCTCAAGGCATAACCATGATAACCCAGTCAAAAATGGCACGGTAATACCCAAAACCGAAGACCTACATATTCATGTGATATATCTGTATACCATATTTCATTTCAGTATGTACAACAGTTGCAAAGAAAATGAACAGAAACTGCAAATAATTGGAATTTTTCTAAGTCTAAGGGACATAACTCTGTCAAAAATGGCATGATCTGACATGCCCAAAATAAAAATTGACCTACGTATTCATATGATAAATCTGTATACTTAAATTTCATTTCAGTATGTACAACAGTTGCAAAGAAAATGTACGGAAACTGCAAATTATTGGAATTTTTCCAAATGCAGGGGGCATAACCCTGTCAAAAATGGTGCGATTGTACCCAAAACAGAATTGACTCAGTCTAAGATATTCATGTAATATATCTGTATACCAAATTTCATTTCATTATGTGCAACGGTTGCGATGAAAATGAACAGAAACTAAGTGGACCAACAGACAGACAGCATCAAAACAATATGCTCTCCCTTCTTTGAAGGGGGGCATAATAAATAAAATCTTTTTGACTGATAACTTTGTCCCAAACTAAGCTCTTATTTGAGTCTCTTAATCCAAACAACATGGGGATTCTTCAATATCACCCGGTCCAACATAATGCCTTACAATAAATTATTATTGAAAAAAAAATTCTTTTTCATTTTAACACGTTAAACATGCATTCCGAGTTAATTAATCACTTTGGGCCCACCGGAAACTGGCTTAGACTAATATAATCATGATAATATAACATAAATTTTACAGCTGATGAGAATTAAGTCTATATCTAAAAAATTTATACTCAGTTCCTTTAAACGGTGCATGTAAATTGAAAAAAAAATCTATCTCTAAACGTGTAAGTCTTTTCATTGTAAAGAAATAACAGCCGCAGAATTGTTTATATACATTTAATTAATATTTTATTTCATTAAAAAAGAATTTCAAGGGCGATAATCATGATAATGGAACGATAACTCTTGTTTATGGATGCATTTTATTTTACATGCGCAGAAAACAATTTGATATTCTGATTTAAAAAGCATCACTTCAGTATGTTTTCTAAAGGGAATTAGATAGGTATGAGAGTAAATATTATTTTTATATATACCTCATATTTCTAATTTAATTGTGAGATGAAAAATAATTGATCTTTCTAATGACCGTATCAAATTTTCTTCACATCATGATTTGACATATTATTCATTTCTGAAAAAGTATTAAAGCAACGCTTCATTAACTTCAAACTATTTTCTATTTGAATTTAATGTTATAGTTGTTGCTGGAAATCAATGTTTGGAATTTAAAAAAAAAAGTTGTGAAATGTGGAGCAGAGGGATATTGTCCCTTAAGCTGTACTGAATAGCTTAATAAAGCTATATAGCTTTTTAAAGCTATATAGCTAAATCAAGAGATTGTTTTGGACCCGTTTATATTAACACATATTTTCGTGAAAAGCTGCTTAAGCATGAAGTACGGATGCTGATTTTATACTTTATTTACACAAGGTAATCATGGTAATAAACAGATACATGTACATGTACTTCATCAATAAAATGAATACAAACAAAAATATATATACATGAAAACCAGTATAAATACTACATGTAATGATGTAGTATATAAATATAAACACGAGTGCATATTTTTTTTCGTGTTTACTTTTATTGTGGACAGTCCCATTTCTCTAAGGTCAATCCCACTTTAAAATGAGGTAACCCCGTGGGCTATCTCATTCTCCTAGTTAACATTTCGCACACTGCTCAAAAGCTCGTCCATGGCAGGCCTCTCACCTGTGAGTTCCAGAGCATGCCAGGCACCAAGTAAAAGGAGAAGAAAATACAGCGTAACAGACCGGGACTGGAACCCAGTCCCCTGAATCTCCAATATTGCGTACATGTATCACTAGTTCACACGTGGCTAATTTTAATATTCAATAATTCCTATCCAATCCGAACCGCGGAAATATAAACATCCTTGTTTACAGAGGGCTCTGTAATCGCACGCGTGAATGCTCTTCCGGTGGGCACAAAATTATAAACTGAAAGACCTGTGAGTGCATTCATCCTGCTACTGTTACCACAGGGACTTGCTCATGACGTGTAAAAAAATATCTATTAAAAAAAAACAACAAACGATATATACTATAAACTACACTCTAGTTTAAATTTTAAAGTATATTTGTATTTTGTAAATTAGTATTTTGAAGTTTAAAGTATATCGATATACTATAAACTACACTGTATATATATTTTTTTTTAATAGAGATTTTTTACACGCCAGGAGCAAGTCCCTGTGCTGTTACTTACTTAATCAGATATTTCCAACTGCCATTGCTTAGAATCAGTAAATTCACTGTGAACCGTTCAGGCATTGATGCATTCTTCAATAGTCAGATTCCGCAATGGTTATTTTCCGTAAAATAAACCATTTCCGAGTTTGTTATTTATAATGAGCATGACGCTTCCTGGGAGTTCTAGTCTAGGTCACCTACACGTTTGTGCATCGTAGTCTCGTTCAACCAGACGCTCGGCTGTCTCCGTACACTCCGACCACAGGCACCAAACTCGCTTGAATTTTTGACCCCCTAGTATATAATAAAGAGAAGGTTATGAACTTTGTCATTCATTTTTGACCCCCCTTCGATTCAGAAGCTATTCAATTTAACAAATCAGCAAATATTCCACGTTTTCACATACCTGTCAACTCTCCCGAATTTATCGGGAGTCTACCGATTTTTAAGCATCCCCACCGACTGTCTACCGATTTTTTTTTAAACTGCCGTTTCTACCGATTTTGAAAAAATCCGGATTTTTTACCTACTTGGGTTCGTAAAATACCGATTAGTCAACACAAAAATATTTGGAGGACATGCAGTGTTTACCGATAGCTAATCTGTTTATTGCCACTGATAACAGGTAATCAACAAGGAATCCGGGATGTTTCGCGCCGATTCTGTTTCGCACTGAGATGGTTCGCGCCGAGATGATTCGCGCCGATTTCGGTGCGAAACATCTCCCCTCTTTTTCTTAATATTTCATTTATTTTGTAATAAATTAAGATCATTTATTAAATCTTAGATAAAATTTGTGTTGTATGCTAAAAATCATGACTTTATAATATGCGGTGCCATAGGTAACGGATCGTAAATGTTAATATTGTGCCCGTTTGTTGAGCGTATGTGTTCAACTATTTAATTGTAATTAGTTGGAGATCAAAAGGTGAGATTTATTTCATTACAGCAATCATAAAGTGCACAGAAATTATCTGCGTGAATTTGAAAACATATAATTTGTGTTATTGAGAACATGTGTATAGAATAATTAATTCACCAGAATGAGCTAAACATATTTTCTTATTTGATAAACTAGGCTTTATAAATGGCCAATTGTTTTTTCTTTCGTCTCTATATTTCTCTACATCAATATTAATTTACAATAAGTGAACCATCTATTTTTTAAGCCATTCAATTATAGTTAAAAAACAAGGACATAGCTATGAGACAACTGCCTCATTATATTTTCAGCACCATTCTCTTCCTATATTAATTTAATACATCACAGGAGTCAGAAAACAATTCATTCAGAAACCTAATTGTTTTCATTTAACGAAATCAATAAAATATTGTACTTTCATGTCAATATGTTTCAAAATTCATGAGATCAGGCTCTATAGTTTTAAAATCGAAATTAAAGTATTTTTGTGGGAAACTATTAAAATATACATGTACATGGACAAAAAAGGGGGGGTGCAGACAAACTTTGCGCACATGTAGTAACATAGAAATGCTGAACTAAATCTAAAAGAATTCATACTTATGCAGAAGGGATAATTTGATTTATACAATCCAACTTTTTTTTTATAGATGCATAGACACAGATCTGAAGTTAATATATTCTTAAATATTCAAAATTGAAGTTTCAATGAATTTTACATGAAATAAGATTTTTCATTTATTTTTATTTGAAATGCTGTTAAGTCTCCAAATTTTGGTTCTCCAAGCCAGCAAATTTACGTTGATAGGTTCCCCAAGCCGGCAATAATTACAGAATTACTTAATTAGATGGCGGTATGCTAAAGTAACTACAGTAACTATAAACATAATTATCAGAGTGTAAAATGATATACAATTAGACTACTTCAAATAAACTTCTACAATTAAAATATAAACTTATACTCTACAAAATTTCTATACTTACATCAATATTCACAGATATCATAATTTATTATTTTTTAATTCTTTTTCAAAACGAACAAAATAAAAAACATAGATTTCATGTTCTGGGAGCGAAACATCGTGGGGCGAACCATCTCAGCGCGAAACAGAATGGGCGCGAAACATCGCGGTGCGAACCATGCATCGGCGCGAAACATCCCGTTACCTCAACAAGGTGTCAACTGTGCTAGCAGATGTAATTGCAGTTGTAATTGCTCCTTGTTCTCATTAAAAGTGTATATTATCAAAGACAGAGATGCCAGATGTGAAAATTTTTACAGAACATGACGGTAAATAACGATATGGAAGTACTTGACACTTAGTTAGAATGTTCTATCGTTAAAATGATATTGTCCTACGGACCCGGTTTAACGATAGAATTCGTTCCGTGTATTCGTAATGTAGCAAAAGAAACACGGGCGATAACTCGCATAGTGCATTTACTAGGAACAATCTAGAGAGTTCCGAATGTAAACATGGCAGGTAATTTGAATCCAGAGAAAAACGTTGAGAAAATTAATTGGATTTTCGTATTTATATGGATTATTTTTTGGGATAAAAGGCATAAGCAATCTCAAAAAGGTTTGTATTGATTAATTTATAAGTTATTTTCAGTGCAAATCCGTTTGTATCCTTCAAAATCGTTTCGGTGCGATTCTGCAATTTTTTGCTACATTGCGAGTATATGGATGGTATAATTTAGCGAAAGTTACCTCCCGTTGGTCGCCATACTGGAGGTCGACTGGGTGATTTTCCCTCTTTGTCTTACCAAGTTTAAGAGGTTGTAGCAGAAATATTTGGTGGAAAATCCTTAATAAATAATTTTCTTTAAATAAAGGAGGCTTCCAAAAATTTATATATTTCAGAAAAATAATGATTCCTAATTCAAAATCGCAAATATAAAAATTTTAAATTGGTTGAACAATGAAGCAATATGAGCATTTGGACCTCCAGTATGGCTGCCAACGGGAGGTAACTTTTGCTAAATTTAGGTCAATCGAAAACTATCTATTTCATGGAAGCTAATATAAATGAAGAGTCTGAAGATTTCCCCACAGATTTTGAGATTCAGTCTCTTAGTAAATCCTGCATCAACATCAGCATATAACAGCCCCTGAAACTACAGAGCAACAAGACAGTCAGTGTCTTTAGAAGACTTCTTTAAAGCTAAACAGGGTAATACATTTCTGAATTAAGGCCAAAGTTATTTTATCTTTAGGTTTACGGATTTTTTTAACCAAAATGTCCATTGGGTGGCGACAAAATAAAAATAAAAATAATTTGAGACTTCTTTCAAAAGGAACATAGCTGATTTCAAAAACAAAAAACACCACCACCCTTCTTTTGAATTGGTAAAAATTAGAAACATTTCCTGAAATTTGGAAAAATTATTTGTATTAAAATGATAATCAAATAAAAGGAACTACAAATGATTTTACTAAAGGTTTACTTAAGATATTATTTGAAATCATTTTTAAAAAATCTCTTTTTAGATATTAAAGATGTTGATGATAGAATATTGGAAACATGACACATTCATTTTTTTTAAAACAAAAAACCAACTAATTTACTTTGATTTAGATTCATAATCTTGTAAACTATATTAATTATCAAGATGAAGTCAAAGATTATCTTTACTTCTTTTAGTGAAACCTTACACTGTTGCCTATTTCCTTTTATTAGCATGACCTTATAGCTACCAAATGGCGGTCAAAGCAAAATGTCAACAACAAGGCATGTATCTGGGACCTATAACCATGAAAACGATTTTTATATATCTGGTTATATTGATTTTTTCATTGTTTCATACACTTGTCACACAAAATTTAGAATGTGTCTGGGTTTGGGGAATAAAATTCAAATTAAAAAAAAACGTACCTAGTCTTTGTGTGAAATTTCTACAATTTTTGTCCAGTTTCAACATATTAGTGCCTTACTTTTGAACTGGAAGAAAAATATTACGGTAATTAACATTGGGAAAAAATAGCAAAGTTATGTCATTGAAACAGCTGATATTTGGTGGTTATTTTTATTTCCATAAAAATCAGAGATTACGTTTTTAACAGGACTCTTTGGAGGAAAAGAAATATTGCATCTCCCATAGTTTGCTCTTCTTTCGTTTTCTGTCAAAATTAAGTTTCTGGACATCGTGCTATTTCCAAGATATTTTAACTGAACTTCAAAATAAAGACATGCTTGCCGCCATATTTACACGCTTCTGTTTATAGTCACTGAAACGTTTTGAAAGAATGAGACGTTTTATTACATGTTTGGGACTCAGACGCATTATGAATATTAAAACCCTGATGATCAGGCATGAATTTTCCGGAAAATTATCGAAAGTGGTGATAAAATCCATTATTTTTATTTTCTAGATCCTGAAAAAGTCGGGTCGGCGGATCCGTAAACCGAAAGATATAAAAACTGTGGCCTAAAATATAAAATTAGCACATTAGAACATTACTAATTTAAAAAAGTTTTATATTTAAAAATTCTGATATATGTTATGAGATTAAAAGGAAAAAAAATACAGGGTCAATTATTTCATTCATACTAGATTACACATTATTTTAAGAATATAAGCATGAAATTTTGACATTTATTTCAATTTCAGATCTTTAAATCCAGGACACAACTCATATAGACTTAATGAGAAAATCCATTCATCCATCTATTAAAAGCTGAAAACTTGGACTGTCTGCAGAACCTTATTAATTTTTCTAATTGCCAAGTTGAACTATGACACTTGCCATGAATATTATATAAATGATGGTCTTATGGACAGACAGAATATATAGCATGTATAGTGAACATAAATTTATATGATTTCAAAATTAATCACATTGCACAAGTTTCTAAACAATGTATGAATAAACAGTAAATTTTATGAATTATTGATAATGTTAATATTATAGTCTGTCCCACCAAGTTACTGTAAGCACTTTTCGTATAAATATCTCAAAATATATAAATACCTTGGCTTTCAACCCAGTTCCGATCGATAGATCATTTTTTTTCCAACCTTCCGCCGTTTATCCGAACCCTCGAGGTCAACCAGTGTATACTCACGGCGGCAAATTCAAAGTCTACGGAGATTTAACATGGTAAACTCGTCCATTAGCGTCTAGATTACGGGGCCGGGAACCAGTTTTCGAAGGGAGTAGTCGTCCTTTGCAAAGTAAATTTCCAAAAAATCGTTAAAAATATAAGGAATTAATTTAAATTGCTTTTATTGATAATATAACTTTTACTTTGAATTAAAATAAATTTTAACAGCATTTAACAAATTTAATTATAAACTACGAGAAAATAGTCCGAATCTAACGAAGTACAACTTGTGGATAATGGCTGTGGGCATGATATGATGCAAGCTTGCCAGGCGCAGTGTTTAAAACGTAAGTTGTTTACATATTCTATGGTACTTTTTGCAGCTGTTGTTGTTTTCCTAACTTATATACACACAAGAAAGAAGTGTCTACAAATGCTAAGAATATAAATATATTTCAAAATGCGTGATATTGCTGACATTAGAACAACAGCTCTATTGTTAGTGCTCATGGTTAACCGTTCGTGTTCAGTAACGGTCTGAATGTAAGCCCATGTGTGGAATATGAAAAGGGGTGTTTCTATGATTATAAAAGAACACGAATATGGTTAAACAACTAGGTGAAATAATACCAAAAAGAATATAACAGCTAGTTTACTTACTATACTTAGTAACTAAAGTTTTAAAATTTTATTCCTACTTTCATTTTCAATTTATAACATTCCATGTATACATTTTTATTTTTTCATTTATGTGTAGTATCAACACCCTGGGGACATCAAAACAGTTTTCAATAGATGACACATTTTGGAATTATTTTTCAAAACTTTTTATAATATTAAAATGTGCATGTAATTTTTCATCAAGCCTTTGGATTGAGTTCTATAATGGTCATTTATGTACATGCATGCATATTGATGAACTAATTAGCAGAGCCAGGCATAAGGTAGATGAATATGCACGTACTGTTTCAGAAAATAATGATTTGTCTTGACCTTGCAGTTTAAATGAGAAAGTAATTATATATGTAGTATTCATGAAAGGAAAACAGAAAAACTAAATAGAAGAACATGTCTGAATAGTTTGATCAGCACAAGAAGTTAAGATAGGCTGAATTATTTCATCAGAGTACAGACTTTGAAATAAAATTGATATACATGTAACATCAAAGGGAATCTTCCATTACCCGGTAATACTAGCTGTCATGCACATATTCAGAGTTCAAATTCTCAGTCTGGTCATCTCGAAAAAAAAATTGATTGCCCTGTCCCAACCAACTGGCTAAAATGACTCAAAACTTTTTTTTATCTCCAGGAAACAATTAACTTTTTTTGTATTCTGGAGACACATTATTAATTTATAATTACTGGTAATTTTTCTGAGAATAATTTTCTCATCTACCTATATACCAACCTAATCCTGAGTTGGGAGAGGGCAGGCCTCAACAGCATTGTTTTTTTCTGTAAAGTCCTATACTGCTCAAATGTGAACTTAATTTGAAAATTTCTGTTTCCTTAATTCCAAGATTTTCATTTAAAGTACTTGTTTTTAAAAACCGTAGAGCATAATTAAAATATTTTTGTTTGATGTACCCTGACACACATTTTTCAAGGTGGGTAGGTACGTATCTTTTTTGGCTTAATAATCATGATAATATTGATCAAATTGATATCAAAGTGTCATTAAAAAATTCCAGACTCGACAGAAATTTATTAATATTTTCAATACACACTGGATATCTAGACAGATGAAATATATATTGTTAAAAAATTATTAATCTAAAAGCATCCAATAGAAATCACATACCACAATTTTAAAAGGAAACAGTATCTATTTCTAATAAATAAAACAATTTTTTTTTTAAATCAAAAATTCAAAGTGCTGAAAAAATGATTGGGTTGGGGTATTTTTGATGGGTCAGTCTGAGTACATCAAAGAAATTTGTTTATATTGTTGCCCTTATTTGCTAGTACTGTATTTGGTTGACTTGAACTTTGACCTACTTTACAAAGATACCCCAGAAACTTTAAATTAAGTAAAGACTTTTTTAAATATTGAGTGATGTATGTTGATAATTAACATTAATTTTATACATGTTTATGAGCTCATAAAACTGTTCTTTTAAACTATATGATATTCAGTAAACCACAAAAACTGATATCTTAATATTATGAAAATACATTGGGATGGAATCTCACAAAGTGGATCGTGCAATGTGACAGTTGCTTTGAAACATGTAACACATGTAAAATGATAAATAATTATTTATGATGATTTCAACTTAATTATTCAGTTGAGGGTTGCATTCTGTATATGCTAGTAGCATAAAAATAGCTGACCACTCTTAGATTTTATAGATACATCTTTAAAGAAGCTAAAAGCAGGTGACATATGTGTTCCTTGGAACACTTTAGTTTGTAATGATATTGATGTCCTGTGGTGGCAGAGGATAGTTTTTTTTGCAATCAAAACGTTTGAATGACGGTTTATTTAATATTGAGCTGCTTTAAAAATGTGCATTGAAAAATTTTAAATTCCTTCTACATGTAATAATAGTATGATGTAGTCCCTTGAGGAATTTGAAGCTTTTAGGAATAAAACATGTACAACTTACACAATGAGCCCTAAAGATGGCACAGGGACAATCTCAAAATTTCATGTGAATCAAGCCTAATTTCACTATTTCGCCGCAGCCGCATCTGCTTCCAGGCCCGTGCGCCTGACCTAAGCTACCACACAAATTGCAGAATAACATTTGTACATACCAATGAACAGCAAGAGATAATGGCTCAACCACCTCGTTTTCAAGCTACAATTCATCCTGTGAACCCACCCCGCTTTTCTGGTGAAATACCGGTAGAGCGAGTTTTGAGCTTAGTTTCGTATTTCTAGTCCATATCCCATATACAGTAGTAGTGACACTAAAGTGTCATATTTCAATAAAATATACAAGGCCACCAATTCCCTCCAAATGCACCCATAAAATCTTCTAGCTATAAAATTACCTATAATATGCATTCAAACCTCAGGTTTCTCTATTTTTTCTATTTTTTGACCGGTACTTTATTCGAAACTATCCTCTGCCACCTGTACTCTTTTATACACTTTCTCTTCTTTCAGCAATGTTAAGCTTGATTTAGCCACTGCAGTATAAGGAGAGAAGCAGACCAGAAACCCTGACTGAAGTAAAGATGATTTGCATAACAAAGGCAGTAAGTTTACCATATAATATTCAAGATCTTCAAAATATCCCGTCTCTTTTAAATACATGTATTGAGAATGATTTGTTGAAGCTCAGCACCTGTCAGATGTGAATACATGTTACATTTTTCCCTCATCATTTGTAATCTTCTTCCAAAGAACCACTGGCCAGAAAAGTTGAAACTTATGCAGAAGCATCCTGGGGTAGTGTAGATTCTAAATTATTAGCTCACCTGAGCTGAAAGCTCAAGTGAGCTTTTCTGATCACATTTTGTCCGGCGTGTCTCTGTCCGTCTGTCTGTAAACTTTTCATGTTTTAGACTTCTTCTCAAGAACCGCTGGGCCAATTTCAACCAAACTTGCCACAAAGTATCATTGGGTGAAGGGGATTCAGGTTTGTTCAAATGAAGGGCCACACCTTTATTCAAGGGGAGATAATTGGGAATTAATGAAAATTTGGTGGCATATTTAAAAAAACTTCTTCTCAAGAACCACTGTGCCAGGAAATATGAAACTTATGGGGAAACATCCTCAGGTAGTGTAGATTCAAGTTTGTTCAAATCATGACCCCCGGGGGTAAGGCAGGGCCAAAATGGCCAACCAAAATTTTACATAGAAATATATAGGAAAATAAATCTTTTAAAATCTTCTCAAGAATGACATTAGGCCATAATTCATCATATTTATATGAAAGCATGCTCAGGTAGTGTAGATTCAAGTTTGTTCAAATCATGACCCCCGGGGGTAGGGCGGGGCCAAAATGGCCAACCAAAGTTACATAGAAATATATAGGAATATTTTATAAAAATCTTCTTCTCAAGAATGACAAAGCCATAATTCATTATATTTATATGGAAGCATGCTCAGGTAGTATAGACTCAAGTTTGTTAAAATCATGAACCCGGGGGGTAGGGCGGGGCCAAAATGGCCGACTAAAGTTTAACATAGAAATACATAGTAAAATTCTTTAAAAATCTTCTTCTCAAGAATGACAAAGCCATGATTCATCATATTTATATGGAAGCATGCTCAAGTAGTGTAGATTCAAATTTTATTAAATCATGACCCCCAGGGGTAGGGCGGGGCCAAAATGGCCGACCAAAGTTTTTAAAGACATATATAGGAAAATTCTTTAAAAATCATTTTCTAAAAAATAGCAAATCCAATATTGGTCATGGGACTGCTTTTGGATTTAAACTTTACATTTAAAAGCCATTTTCTACTTTTTCCTACCCTTAGTGCTCAGGTGAGCGATGTGGCCCATGGGCCTCTTGTTTAAATTATGACCCTTGGGTAGGGTGGGACTACAATAGGGAACCCAACTTTTACATTGAAATATACAAGAAAAATCTATAAAAATCTTCTTTGGCATTACCAGTACTAGGCAAGCAAAACTGAAACTTATGCAAAATCATTGTGGGATAGTGTAGATTTTAAATTGTTCAAATTATGACCCCAGGGGTTAGGTTGGGTCACAAAAGGTATAACAAGGGGGAAATCTGGTAAAGAACTGCATCGTCAAAGCTATTCAGGTAACTATAAGTGATGTGGCTCATGAGCCTCTTGTTATATAAGTTGTGATATTTTACAGAAAATTTGAGAAAATGTTAACTGCAAATCTGTGTCTAAGCACCTGTAATACTGCACTATCTCACCATTTGAAAGAATAAACAAACATTGATAAAAAAATGTAATTATAACTGAAGCATAGAATATTTTATTATACTTTTATTGCTTACAAAATTATGTTTTTATAGGATGAATAAATCACAAGAGTCCAAAGTTTTGATGACCATGCAGAGTCGAGATATTGAAACAAAGACATGCCTGCACTGTTCACTCAATTTTTCAGAATAACGTGTCAAATTGAAATCCATCTTATGTTGGACTAAACAATCAGGACATTTTTCTGGATCACAGGTTGTAAGTGTTTACATTGTATATGAATGAGAAAGATTTTGCTCTTCCTATGTATACTTCAGATTGAAACCTGAAAATGAGAATTGACCAAGTATATGTATTTTTGATAAGTAAACAATTCATATTAATATGATGAGCACAATCTGAATTTTTATTGGATCTTAATATTTCACTCTGCACAAATTTAAAAAAAGTTTTTTTTATGCACTGAAATCTTTATGACGATTTAAAATGTTTTATCATTAATTTTTTTTCAGGCACAAAGTATTGACAAAATCAAAGATTACCTGGTAGTCTGCAAATGGAGTGATCATTGGATGAGGCAGACAACACCATTTTCCTCGGAAATTTTAGAATAGAGGCAATCTCCATCTTCATAGATGACTGATGTCGACATTTTCTCACGTCTGTTTCATGTCTTTTCTACAGCATGGACTCCAGCATCAGTGGGCACTTGACAATTATTCTTCTTATTTTGTTCCAATATCCTTAAATATAGGACAAACAATTCATTTATCTTTTAAAATATTGTTAAATTTTACTTAATAAAACGATGAAAACAGTGCAAACAAACTGGTTTATCCTATAATCTAAAGCTGTTTTATGGTTCAAGCATTTATAATTTTACAAGACTTATTAAAAATCTGTTAAGGTACTTGGATTCTCATCCAAGAAGGATAACTCTTTAATTTATAATTTAAATCAGAATTTCAAAATGAATCTTGAAAAATTAAATCTCTTCATGCAACAGTTTTTATTTTATCATGATAATGTTTTTAACTTCTCAATGTCCTTTAAGGTTGTTTGAAGTTCTCAGAAAGGTCTTGTAGAAAGTCGAAATGTTGACCTTATATAGTAAAACTCTGTTAAAGAAAAGTCAATGGGACTTATGAAAATACTTTGCTATAACCATAATTTGTTTTATCCGTTTAAGGAATTCATTAATTTACATAGCTGGGGATCCAAGGTTACCTCGCTATATCTGTGAATTCGCAATATCTGTGTTCATATCTAGACAAATTTTTGAAATAAACTCTCTTACTTAAATATGAATTTTACTCTTAATTCACACAAATAAACAGAAATAATGATTTGACATTTGAGGGCGAGACAGCACCATGACAATGGGCCGAGACAGAGATGTCTCAGCCCCGAGAAAGAGACAGCTGTACTCAGGCCCCCAAAAATTATAGTCTTGTTTCCTGTTACCCAACCTACCTTAATTTTTCGCACCTGACCCTACAGTTTTTTAGGTTTGGAAAAAATCTGGAATTTCTGTAATTTCATGTTCCATGTTCTAAAACTGAAAAAAAAAATAATGTATATTCAAGTGGTATTTTACGAAAGACGAATAGGGCCACATAAAAAATATTTTTATCTCGTAATTACGAGATCTTTTCTCGTAATAACGAGATAATTAACTCGTAATAACGAGATCTTTTCTTGTTATAACGAGATCTTTTCTCGTAATTACGAGATAAAAATATTTTTTTATGTGGCCCTATTCGTCTTTCGTAGTATTTTATGATACTACCGAGTATATGTTTTAAATATGGACTTTCATAACATACTACTTGAGTCATGCATCAAAAGACAAAATTTAATTTGTAATGAAAATATTGGTCTATGACATGTTTAATTTGGTTTTGTATTAGTTCATATCGAAAATAAAAAGAAATTAAAAAATAAAATAATTTTCCTGCCTACCTACCCAATTTTTTTCAGGCTGGTAGCAGGAAACAAGATAATTATTTTTTTGGCCTTACAAGGCACTGTCTCACCTAGTCCAAAACATCTGTATCAGAGCTGATACACTACTAGGTATATGATATAGGCATATATGCATGTTTGCATACTAGGGAACTGTCAATGAATAAACTTACTTTGAAAATTTACAAATACAAAAGGAAAAAAAAATTGCTGGGACTCAAAAATCAAACTCAAGAAACCTGCATTATTTCATACCTTCAATATATATGTATCTGCAGGTACTTATGTCTTAATATGTATAATGTACATGTTTGTGCTTTTCTATCTTGTAGTTGCACCAGGCAGCTATTCAGATTCCTGCAATGAAAATTTTTGTTCTGAAAACTCATAAAAATTAAAAGGCTTTCTGTTAAATTGTTTTATTGAAATAGAGAAAGGAAAAAAATTATAATATATTTTAAAAAATCATAATCCTTCACACTTGCGTTATGTATTTTAATTTTATGTGTATAGGAATATTTTAAATTTTGGTATAATTCTGTTATATTTAAGGTAAACAAAAATGTATATCCTGGGTCTGAATTTACCTAACACCGATACATTACAGGAAGGTTTGGAAGGGCAAGGTCAAAATTCATTGGTGACGTAGTTTAATTGATGCAGACAACAAACGTTGTTTTGCACCGAGATTAAAAATAAAATATCAACGAAGGATTTATGTGTTCAAAGAGTTGGAAGTATAACAAAGTCAAGAAATACTGTGGCATGTGCATGTGAGGACATCACTTGTTCACATACTGTGACATAGAAACGATAATATGACTTATTTTGACCGTGTGTTACAGTTTTTTAACAAACGTAAAGGAGTTGGATTTATAAGGAAAGCTAAGGTGAAACGTTAAGGTAAGGCAGCAATTATAATTTTTAAAAATCTTAATCCTAGATATATTACTTTGATTGATCTCTAATGTTACGTGTTGGCTGATAAATTATAAAACTAATTTTACTTGAGCTAAATTTGCAGTAGCTTAGCCTCGATTATTCTATCGAAATGTTATGTATGAATTGAGTCATACCTCTTTGCCTTTATGCAGTGACTAACCCTTTTATGAATCTTTGGTCCCTTGGGTCTCAGTCTGGGTATGAAAGTTTGTTGAAGAAGTAATATTTCTTGTAGGCCTAGTATAAATATATACTTGGAAGTCTCGGGCGTTATAGGTTTTTCGGACGTCGATAACCATAGAGCACTCCCGAACGTGTGTGACGTCATTTCCTTACTGACGACGACGTACGGAAAATTACGAACAATGGATGATCCCCTTCCGAAGTGGTGGCCATTTTGACAACGTTAAATCTCCGTAGACTTTGAATTTGCCGCCGTGTGTATATACACTGGTTGACCTCGAGGGTTCGGATAAACGGCGGAAGGTTGGAAAAAAAATGATCTATCGATCGGAACTGGGTTGAAAGC